TATATATATATTTAAACGTTCATAAATAAATAAAAGTATTCGTTTAAATAATCTAACAGAGAGATCAATCGTGAATATAAATTTTCTTCTTCGATTTAAGAGAATCTTCTGTCTCTCTCCCTCTCTCTCTCTCTCTCTCTCTTTCTCTTTTTCTTTTTATTCATTTCTCGTTACCTGTTCTTTCCTGTTTTTAATCTCTACACTCACCAATTACCACCTGTTTTACAATTCCATTATAAGTTCAACATAGTGAATGTGAACGCAAACGCGTTCGTTGTTAAACGAACGAGGTCTCTGAGAAAAACTCGATGAGAGTTTTGTCGCTAACACTTGCTCGTAATTTTCATTGTCGGTTGGGCCCCCTTTTTCTTTATCGTACCATTCACGATTTCATTTTGCTTATATCGTATACACAGTGTGTATACAAATTATTGTTCAAGATATTTTATAGTATAACTTTGGTGATAGAGAAATCACAAGTCTTCGAATGAGAGAAAGAGAAAGAGAGATGTCGAACAAAATATAAAACAAACTAAATAAAAAAAAATCTATTTTGCATATACAACAGAGTTCTTCTCTTATTCGCAAAGAGATAGAATTATTATATCCTTTTTTTTTTTCTTTTCTTTATTTTTTATTTTATTTCTTTTTTTTTTTATCTTCATTTGCAAGTCAATTAACTGCAACGCGACACCCATAACGTTAAATCAACATAAATTTATGTTGAAATAATATCATTTTGTTGATACTTGATAATGTGCATAAATTTATCGATCATTATTTATTACTGTTATTATTTATTTAATATTTGACGAGTTTTTGTTTGTTTATTTTGTAAATTGTGTACAATTGAATTTTAATGATATTCATGTAACATGATCTAATTTTTTTTATTGTGGGGGAGGGGAAACTAGTGCAGTACTTTGATTTTTAGGTTAGAAAATAAATACTAATTTTATTATTAATTTATTTTATTGTTTATGATAAATATTTCTAATAAAATTAGATGTATGGTCACAAGTAATTTTGAAATTAAATATTCGAATTAAAAAAAGAATTAATTGGAATGTACAATAATTTATTTCTATTAGAAATCTATGAATAAAAAGAAAAACAACATGGCAGAAGCGAAATTGTATAATATAATATAACAAAAACCTAATATAATAAAATAAATAAATTATAAATAACCTAATATAATAAATAAACCTAATAAAAAAAAATAATAAATCTAATACAATGAAATAAATAATTAAAATAAATATTAATTTCAAATAAAACAACTACAAAATACAAATGCAAATACAAATAAATTATTTTCAAATTCTTCGTTAAAAAAAAAAAACCTCTTTCACCATTAACGATTCCTATAAATTATTTTTAAAATATTACGTGTGTTAAATATTAATATTATAATACTAAACTAAAATACTTAAAAAAAAAAAAAGGAAAGAAATTTCTAATTCAAGAGGATGAATACCAAACATTATCGTAATTCCAAATTGAAGAACAGAAAGGATTGAAAAGAAGATGGTTGTTAAATGTCGTCACACGGATAAACAGAAATATGCGAAAGGGGAGACGTTCATATGAATGTTTTAGTTGTGTTTGTTACATTTGTATTTATCTAGTACATATATACACATAAATACACACACACAAACACAAATATATATAAATTTACATGTATTATAGATAAATATAAATACATGTACATATACACGTTGGTTGTGTTATATTTGTATTTATCTAATACATACGTAAATACATACATACATACTCATACACATATATACATACACAAACATATAGATTTACATGTACTATATATAAATATAAATACATGTACACATTGATTGTGTTACATTCGTATTTATCTAATACATACATACATACATTTATACATACACACTCATATATAAATTTACATGTATTATACATAAATATATATATACATGTGTACGTGTTGATAGTAGTAGTGTAGTACGTACAACGATTTTAGCAAAATGCGATCGTGCCCAAACATTCCAATCCCACGCAAATCGACCTCCCTAAGAACCACCATAAAATGGCAAGTACTCGTTCCTTCGAGAATGAAAGAAAGAAAGAAAGAAAGAAAGAAAGAAAGAAAGAATGGAGAGGATAAAAAAATAGAAAGAGTAAGATAGAGAAAATACGATAAGGCCTATGGAACGATGATTTAATACCTGACAAGATTTTTCTCTTTTTTTTCTTCCTACTTTTTTCTTTTTCCAAGTACCACACTTAATCCTATCGAACGACATTTAAAACTATACATAAATATACAATTACGAAACTTGAACTTCTATTCTCTTTTATTTTACAAATCTCATTTATAATAAGCCATTTTTATTTTTTTTTTTTTTTTAATTATTATTTATTATTATAATATATTTATAAATTAATATTCAATTTTAAGGTTAGGTAAACAAGATTACAAGTTTGGTAATACAAAAAATTGTAATCAAAATTAAATATAATCGTTGTTAAAAATATCATTAATTTAGCAGTTTTTTATATTTAAATTTTTTAATATTATTTAAATAAAAAAAACAAACAAAAATATATTAATTACAAATATATTATTTAATCTTAAATTAGGCAAACGAGATTACACTTTTGATAATGGGGAAAAACCTAATCAAAATTAAATGTAATCGTTGTTAAAAATTTCATTAATTTACAAATTGTTTATATATAAACTTTTAAATATTATTTAACAACAAAAAAACAAACAAACAAAAATAAATTAATTAAATTAATACTTAATTAAGTTAATTATTGTAATACTTTATTTAATATATTATTTGATCTTAAATTAGGTAAACAAGATTACACGTTTGCTAATACAAACAACTGTAATAAAACATTAAATGTGATCGTTGTTAAAATTCTCATTAGTTTACAAATTGTTTATCAAAACAAAACAAAAAAAAAATAGACAAAAAATACTTTAATTAAAAATAAATACAAAAATAAATATAAGATTGCTAAAAGAAATTATTTAAAAGTTACAACTCTAATTTAATGGATTTAGTGTTAAAAAAACAAACTTG